TAGGCAGAAAATTAACTCTATCCCAGCCAAAACCAGGACAGTCTTCCATCAGAATTTGTTTCTTAATCTCCTTGGGAACTAAGGTTTATGGTTACTAGTCTATAGCTTCCCAGACCCTCTTTCTTCCCCTTTTTAAAGGTGGGTGTAGCCACTCACAACAACCTTTCAAAGGTGATAAAGAGTGGCCTTACAGTGACACTGGCTGGTGTCCTCAACATGTGTCCTGTTTGGTCCCAAGGACTTGAGTGTGTCTAGTCTGCTTAAATGGTTTCTAACTTGATCTTCCTTTTCTGTCAGTCGTGCTTTACTCTCCCAGACTGGGCCAGTTGGCTCAAGGATGTATTTAACTATTCATCAAAGACTGAGGAGTTACTAGCCTCAGTTTTCACTTGTTAAAACCGGGTTGCTGCTTTGAATGTAAAGTTTTAAATAAGAATAAATTGACTGAAGGAAGCTACATAGCACCTTGAAGACTGTTAGCTTTTGTTGAAGACTATGTAGATATAGTTTCTCCAAAGTAGTTTCTTACAGCATCAAGCAAAAAGATTAATATCATAGTAACAAAAAATGCAAAAAATTATTGTTTCATAGTAGCAGCAATTACATACAGTAATTTGAGTTATGTGATATGAGTGACTCTTCCGCTCATCAAACTTAGCATTTTGTGATTTATGTACTTACTGTGTAGTTCAGAAGATCACAAGCCAGTGTATTTACAGATCTCATAGCTCAATTAAAAATATTTTTTTTTCTTGGTGCAGAAATTTTTAATGAGATTTGATGAACATTTTCTAGGAGACTCATACTTCCTTATTCTCTTCTCTCTTCATTCGCTCTTGTGCAAAAGAGCATCAGAACTACTTTGGAATAGATGAAAATCTTGGACCTGTAGCAGTCAGCATCCGGAGGGAGAAGGTTGAAGATGCCAAGGAGAAAGAAGGATCTCAGTTCAACTATCGTATAGTTTTCAGGACAAGTGAGGTAATGTCCTTTCAGTAATTCTGCAAAGGAATGGAAAAGTTAACTTAGAGCTTACAATACTAGTTGTTTGTCTGTGGATATGTTGCTAACTTTGAAAGTAAATCTGTTAATGGGAAAGGAATGTTTCTTGTACTGTTAGTAAATGTAGTTGCTCCTGGAACAAGGTTTTCCTCTTCTGTACTGCATAAAATTTTTCTTTTTTTGAGTGGGCACCCGAAAAGAGGTAGGTTGGCTGGAGGGAACTGCAAGGGGCAAGCAAGGGAACAGATGATAAGAACAAAGTTGAAGATAGGTTTGGATCAAGCTGTTTGATGTTCACTTTCTAATGATGGAAATAAAAGATCAAGAAATGTAGGGGAAAAGGGAGGGGAAAAATGTGAAAGCTAGTACTATGACTTATTTGTATTTCTGTGTTTTGTTTCAAAATACTTTCTTAGACGCTTTTTTCTGTGAGATGTTTTTATATACTTTTACATACATGATTTGTGGAAGGAATATTAATATGTTGATAAAAATAATTGTCTTGGAAGAAGAGCTCGCTTGTGATCATTGTGGAAGGACACGTCTCGACTTCTATTTCAAGCAAATTAGTATCTCTTGCAAACTAATTTCTTCTTTATCACAGCAACTAGCTTTGATTTGTATGAAAATACAAAATGTTATTATTGTAGCAAGCAACTGTAAATTTTCATAATCCTTAGGACTATTGCTTTTTATTGTGATTAGGACATAGAGAAGTGTTAGCTAGACCTCCTGATATCTCTGGGCCTGGGTGCTTTTACAAACAGATATAGAAACAGATATATATAAATTTTTTTTTAGGCTAGGTATTTCTTTTCTTGCCAAAAAAGGGGTGTGTCTGTATGTATGTGTGGAGAGGTGATTCAGCTGACTCACTTCTAAGAAATGACTCTCTTTTTGCCAAATCCAATGAAGATAAAGCAGCATGGTTTAAAATATAGGTGGATGGGTTAAATGAAGGTGCCATTAGCTGTGGCTTACCTCACCTGTCCAACATCACATTCAACTACTGTGTCTGCTAGGGTAGTATGGCGCTAAGGTTAACTAATTTTAATTTTCCTTGTGTTTTAAATATTTTAAAAAAAATAGGCTTAGGAATTAGAATAAGTTAATAAGATCATCAGTGAGTTTAAACATTTCTTTAAACAAGAAATGTATTTGTCACTGAGACAATAAGAGCCTGACTCCTCTTTAAAAGTTATTTAGTAATCTTGTTACTGGTTAAAAACATTAAAAATAGGGATCTTTTTCTTCCTATTCTTTCTTCCATGCTTTTGCTAAAACCTGAAGTTTATATCTTTAAAAGTCATTGTAGTATTAGAACTAAAAATGTGTTGTGTGTTTTACCTTTACTGCAGCTTACTACACTTAGAGGAGCAATTTTAGAAGATGCTATACCATCCACTGCCCGGCATGGCACAGCAAGGGGTCTGCCTCTCAAAGAGGTACTAGAGTATGTAATACCAGAGCTGAGCATCCAGTGCCTGAGGCAAGCTTCCAACTCACCCAAAGTACCTGAACAGCTGCTTAAGCTGGATGAACAAGGGGTATGTAGCACATGACTTTTCTTTAAAGGAGACTATTCATTTAAAAAAAAATAAAAAAAAAATTTTGCAGGCAATGTTAATCAACATGGATCTGTAATGCAAACCATTCACTTTCTTGGTTTTGGAGATACTTCTGTATTTTCATTTACAAAATAAGGTTTGCTTTTCTAAGCAAATTATTTTTAAAATACATTGCAGCTTAGGAAAAATTTATTGGTCTGTGGACATTCTCTTTAGATGAGTGAGAGAGAGAAAGATTATAACTAAACTTTTAACATCAGTAAGAAGTGATTTTCACAATCTGTATTTGCACTTTAATGTGTACAAATGCTGGATGCAAATGAAAATACATCTAAGATTTTATTAATATTGTGTATAGGTAAGGAGGCAAAAGGGTATAACATATTAAGTCTCTACATCTAAAATTTGGGTGGGTTTTTTTTTTTACAATAACATTTTCTGATTAACTTCCAGTGGTCTTACTAGAATAGAATCCTTCTGGGTTCAAACAACTGAAATTGTGATTGAGACTAATGAATTAACTGCATAGCAATGAAATATTTATACGACTTAAATTTGGAGAGAAAATGGTGAAGCTTATTGGGTTCAATAAAGCAAACCTGCTTCATTCAAAGCTAGTGATTAAATTTAGAGCTTCTGAGTATTTTGTGAATGACAGGCTTGTGATGGCTTTTAAATCCATTTTTAAAAGAATGTTCAATTAACGTGAAGATTGCACTTTCTAGGCAAAAGTCAGTATCTATCTGTTGAAGCTGAATCAGCTGATGGATCCAGTTGATTATGATGGTGGTATAATTAATTTTTTTAATGCTAATTCAGTTTCGAATGTAGTGATTGCATCCAGCATTGGTGGTGTCTACCAGAATTCTTCTGTCTTCTCTTGTGGCTGTAACAATTGCTCAAAACCAAGTAAATGTGTACAGAGGAAGAGAATTGTTTTTTTGGGTGGATTGTTAAGCTAGTTTTGTATGTATATTTTACTACTTTTGTTCACTGTAGTCTTTGAGGAGGACTTTTAATTGAAAATTCCTTTTGCCAAATGTCCTTATTTTCTCCTGTGTTTGTCAGTTCTTCTGGTAAAACAAGGGAAATCAGAAGCACTCAGTTCTGAATCTAAGAGTTCCTGATGTACTGTTGCTCTTTGTCTTTACTGTTTGAGCTCCAGCGTTTAGGTTATCTAATAATTAATATTCACTGCTCAGAGGGGCAGTATGTTCTAGGCAGTATAGAGTTCTACTTTATTTGACCTGACCTGAGTATTTCCCAAGCTCACTATAATTTTTTCCCAAAAACTGGAAATGGAGATTGTCCATTGAACTGACCAAAGTAATTATTTAATCATCAACTGCTAATTTTGAGAAACAGGAGTACATAGCACTTCTTTTTATTTTGGGTGATCAATTCTGAAAATTCAATCCTGTTCCGAAATGAGCTGTCACCAGGCAAAATGTAATATTAATGTATCTTATGTACTGCTTATTATGAGATAATTACTTGACCATAGAGAAAAAGCTGTGCATAGAACTGGCATGAGATCCATTTATGCTTTTAATCCTCTTATGTACTTGATGCTTTCAGTTTATTAATCAAGCAAATATAAAAAGAGTTATGCTTGGCAACTGAAGGTGATGACTGGCTGACGTATCATGAATTTAAAAATATTAATCATGATCTAAAGGATTAATACTGTCACCAGAATAATACTCATTTTGCGTAGATTTAATTTTCTACCTGTTTCATAGTTCTCGGTGAAATCTAGTAACAATGATGGAGGAAACATGTGGCTAAAACTTTGTCTCTAAAATGACAGTAGAAAGTAGATGCAAATTGGATGGTTGACCTAATTTGAATATATAAATACAGAATCTACATGTTCCCAATTTATTCTGGCATATGATGATCAGCATTAAATTTGGCTGTAAATTTACAAGAAAAGACAACTATTTATCTGTAACCTGGACAGGATTTTTTTTTTTTTTTTTTACCTCTAATTCTCCCCCTAGTTCCATTGCCCCATTTCTGCTAATGGTTGTTTATTGTATATGTGCTTTTTGGTTCCCCTCACATCCCGGGGAATGTTCACTTCCCTCTAGGCCAAAGGCTGAAGTTTACAGAAAGCCCAAAGAAATTAGGAACTTCAATTGCAGTGGTATTTAGTGGCTGTTGAGTGTCTAATCGCTTGAGGTTCCTTGCCAGAAAAACTCTAAAATCTTCACATGATGAAAGTCAACAAGTTGTTGTTACATGATAAAGAATCTATACTGTATAAGAAGACAAGATGCCAAGATTCAGTAGTGAGTCATTCTGACTAGAACATAGTAATTTTGAGTCAGGAAGGACTGCTATGCGCCTTTAATACATATCATATACCCAAGTAGCTAAATGGGTTTAAAAATTATTTTCTGATGTCACATAATTAAATTGTTCTCAGTGTTACATTAAATGTAAAATCTCTAATTTAGAAATCACGAAATCAGAACCATGCCTGCAATTATTTACTTAAAAAGACTTGAATAAGCATGTGGTACCATTTCAAAACTGGCAAACTTTGAGTTTTAAATATTCTGATAGATTTTCATGCTAGTTAAATGTGCCACATAAGGAGATCCTGCCAAAGCTCATTTAGTTACTTCTTAATTAGGCATTGACATTCTAAAGGTACCTCGATTTCTGCTTCTGCACAGTCCCCATGATCTTGGCATGAGACTTCTTTTGCTTAAGTCTTCTAATTTCATAGTCATGAGTGCTCCTAGCACATGGGTGGGAGGTTCAAATTACTGCAAATGAGCTTGCAGCTGCTGCCTTGTTTAGGAATAGTGGTATTGGTAGAATCAAATTTGTACATAATTGACTAGTGTTTGCGGTACTTGTCCATGAAGTGAAACCCCAGGATTAACGGGCTGGGGAGTTTCAGATCCTCATCTTCAATGTCTCCTAGGACAATTTTTAAACCATGAGATGGTAGGTTGTTTTGGAAGATAGAAGTATACTTCACTCCTGCTTGGAATTATATTGATATTCATGAACAAATTCAGGAATGACTGGTGTCCTCAGGAAGAATGAAGGACTGTGACTGCATATTTCTAGACTGAATATTTTGCCCAGGTGCTTTTTGACTATGAGTTGTTGCCCCTATTATTGGTGGCTCAGTTAGAAGTTAACTTCTCCAATCCTCAATTCTAGTGTGAAGTCAAGGAAATTAACTTAAATTCCTTGTGGTTTAAGCTAACTTGGCACAGAGCTGTGATAGAGGTGGCAGTGTGCTCACAATCATTTTAAGTCTCTGCTGGGAAGTGTCAAGTAACAGTACTGCTTCCTGTAATCTAGTGTTTATATGACCACTTCTCTTCCAGTTTCCTCTATGAAATGTTCATGCTAGCTTTCCACTGAACAAAATAGTCACCAGTGTGCAATCTGGAACCTTTTGTTAAATACCTCTCTCTCTCCAGTTAGGCAGTGTTTCAAAATGGGGATCAAACAAGGAAGCACTCTGGATGGATAGCATCTAATGCCAGTCAAAAGGAAATGACAAGAGCAAGCTGGTATCTTAACCCTGCCCTGCTCCAGAGTTCAATGGTCTGACTCATGCAGCTCCTACAGTGCTCCATAACCCACAATCTCCTTTTACTTCAAATGGTCATCCCTCCTATTCCACATCAAACTTTGGCACAGCTCCTAGTTCTTCTGTGTTCTGTGCTGCCCAGGTGAAACCTTATTGCAGCAGCGTTCCTCATTCCTGTCCTTACTAAGCCTGTTCTTTGTTCCTAGCTGCTCCCTGGTCAGTGGCCTCCTGCCAGAGTGTGTTCCACAAGGGCTCACCCCCACATAAAGCAGTTATCAAAGGGGGAGGATGGA